CCCAATCATGTTTATCTCTTCGCTAGTATCCTCAGGTACGCAAAAGTGTCGCGCGAGCTAGGATATTGAGGAGAAGACTTCGACGCTTGGTATAGAAGACTGTGACGATAATTGCTCTCTTACTATTAAAAAAACATTTTTTTAACAATAATCGTGAGCGTTAACAGTGACGAAAATATTTGTAATCAGTTGCTGATTTTGTTAATAAATTCACTAAAAATTGAAAAGTAAACTAGGTAAAGATTGTACGTAATAATATTCGAATTTTCGTGTAAAGAGAATTTCAGTGGGATGGTCTAAATTTTAACAAATGCATTCCAGATGCATCACAGTACCATAAGCGAAATCATCATTCCGCACCGTTTACTGCTACGCTCTGACGGAAAAATAGATTTTATTTTTATGGCGATTACTTTTGACCTCGTATTTTCCAAAGACTCTAATTTCGAGACCTGTGCTGTGAATGTCGAGCAATAAAATCTCGACCCTTTCTTTCTGTAGACGCCCATTGTGTTAAAACGGCTAAAAAGATGGTCTGCAGCGTCTCAACGATTTATGCACAATATGGTTTGAGTTCTTTAGAAATCAAGCATCTCACACATAAAAGTATTTACCAGAGTTCATAAAATCCTCTTTCACATAATTTTATATATTAAGTAACATTCTATTATTATTTGCTTCCCGCGTAATCAAATAAAGCCAAGAAACCTACAGAAATGATTGACATACAAAAATGTATCGAAATTTGTTGATTATGTCTAAATATTTTTTACAGCTCCCATATGGAACTTCGTCAATGTCTTGACGCGAACACGGACGTTTGGAAAGAAGAGAATCAACGATTGACGAACGCTCCTTGATTCGAATCAATGGAAGGTAGACGTAGAGTCTGGATGGATGTCTTCCTCGAACGTGCGAAATTTCTCAGATAAAATGAAGCGTCGGGGAATACGGCGAATAGCTTGGATTCAAGTGCGCAAAACGCGAATTCCTCGCGGTGCGCCTTTTTGCCGCGCGTTTCTTCGCCGGCGCGGCGGAGGAAGCAAGAGACCGGACCAGCGCCATATTGGTTAACCGGTGCGCCGCGGAAAGGGTCGCCGGGCACGGGGAAGTCCGCGGTAGAATGAACGCGGGAACGCGGGCGGGAAGCTTGACCGAGAGGTAGAGGATAGAGGGAAAAGAGAAAGAGAGAATAGACAGAGAAAGGGAGAGCACGTCGTGTAAGAAAAGAGATACGGCGGAGGAGAAGAAGGGGGAGGGACGGCGAGGGAGACGGGGAATAGTAACGCGCAGTGTGCCCGGACAACGCTCCCGCCGGGGCCAACTAACGGTCCAAACCACCACTACCATCACCGCCACCACCATCATCATCGTTCGCCACCGTCACCACCGGCGCGCGAACCTCACTTCGATAGTTCTCGTCATCTTTCTCCTCCTCTTGCATTTCTTAGCGCCTCGTTTTTCCTCTCCTTCCTCCCTTCCGTCATCGCCGTCGTGGTCGTCGTCGTCGTCGTCGTCGCCGTGTTCGCTCGACCGCGCGCGCGTACGTAGATCCTTTTAAACTACAAATTCTCCGCGATTGGTCTTTTACATTTCCTTTTACATTTCCTTACGACGGATTCCACGAACGCAGGCGAAGCGAGGAGGCGATAGCGCGACGAAGGGACAACTCAGGCGTGAACGATCGCGGAGAAGAGGCAACCCTCTCTTGTGAGGGAAGGGGGCAAGGATTTTTGCGCGCATTCGTAGTCGAAGATTACTGCGATGGTATCTCTTATCGTATCCGGCACTTCCTACTCGCTCCTTATCGCGGGCGGAGAATAGAAAGAGCCGCGTTTACCTCGCGAATACGAAAATGGAACCTATTGCGTTGTCTTTATTGAAGATAACTTAGAGAGAACGCTTACTGCTTGAAATTTCATGTATATTTTTGCAATATCAGTAACATAGAACGTGTATATCGAGCTTTTTCATTGTATAACATATCAAAGTTATACACTGAGAAAAAAGAAGTTAAATCCAGAAATATTTCAACTATTTGCGGCAATCATGAGCTGCCAAGCAAATAATTATCAATTCACAAAAATATTCAACAAAATACGTTTCGTTAAATGACTGTATGTCTAATGTAAAAACATATTTGAACTAAAGAAATACTGCCAACTAAACGTAGTCATTTCAACAACTCTTTTCTTCTCAATGTATGTATGTAAAAAGTATTTCATTTACTTTAACATTTTCGCACTGATCTGATATATTGTAACAAATTTTTGTAAAAATATTTTATGAAAATTTCACATGAAAAGTAATAAACAGTACGCGTTCCCTGCAAACTATAAATGTAATTAAATATATTTTTGTTTCAATCGTAGCGAAAAATATATTTGTATGTAAACATATATTTTTAGCGTAAGATACTTTGACGAACGGTGATCCGTTCTACAGCGAGACTTTCTCTCGTGCTCTTCAGTCGAACGATTTTGTCACAAGATTCCTTGTTCCAATTTCTTTCATACCTCAGTGACACCCGCATTGCATATTATAACGGAACGAAGTGATCGCTCGATTTTACTCGATCGTTCATTATATTGCCTTGATGTCTAAAAATAGACATCAAGGCACTGTCCTCGGAACTTGGTGCGGTCATAAAACTGGAGGCACACGAATATGACCGTTCGGTAAAAGAGCAGAGAAGAATGAGGAAACTCCATATCCGCACAGCCGCACACGATCCAAAGCGGATCCACGGATAAAAGGAGAACTCCCCCGCCCTGTGTGCGATCAAAGATCCGAGAAATTCTCAAGTTACAGGACCTTTCACGTTAGAACTAACCGCCTATCCTATTTTTTTGTGACGTTCTTGCGGCAACCCAGTGAGCTTTCCCGAGTTTGAACGAATTTGCTCTTTGCACCGCTTTCTCACTTAATTTTCCGCAATTACAACGAGAAGCGTGCGCAATTTGAGGGCGAAGAAATTGTCCGATGTTAGATACGGTTAAAATTTTTTCCAAGTTACCGAAAGAAGATCAAATAAAATCAAATAAATTTTACATCTGCAAAAAATCTATCCCAAATGCTATGAGTCTAAAAATTTTACATTGCACCAATTCTACAATAGGAAGAAATTTTTTAAGTTTACGACAGGGATCTCCCGTAAAAAAATCACGAATGGATGTTTTGTCAGGCAGAAGGGAAAGGTCAATAGATTTTTCTTGGTATTCTGATACTTTCAAGAATGCCGTGTGCAGACGCCTAATAATGACGCAAAAAACGGAACAGTTTTGTGATGTTCATAAATCATGAGACTCGACCTTTACCAGTCCGAGCGAAATCACCGCGCGAAGCTGTCAAGGATTTTCTATCACGTGTAGTAGGTGGTTGCGGAAGACCACACTGTGCATCGGCAAACACCGAGAATAATTCAATAAATAATAAATTCGATTGTTTTAATTTTTATTTTTACGTTTCATTCACGTGAAAATTCTGGGAGGCATTTAAATTCGTATGGAAATACGAGAGGGATTTTCAAGATCTTGCAGTATTTATTATTTTTAATCCAAATTTTTCCCATCGTATATTTTCTATTAAAAAAAATTTATGAATAGCTTTTGGAAAAATCTTAAGACAATTTCTCGACAATATTTGATACAAAATGATGAAAATAATCTTTCTATCATTGAATTTTTGCAAAATTCATTAGGAAATCGTGCGTCCAAGATTTAAAGTCTCATTTCATAAGAGAATATAACGCGATATGCAAGGATAAAAATAGAGATAATTAAGTTGCCTAAAAGTCTCTACAGATAAAGAATGCATGGCGAAACACCGCGCGTATCGAATAACCACGTAGCAGCTGGTCAAGCTGATGCGCCTTCGTTGCATATTCTAAACCAGGATTAAGAATTTCAGGGAAAAGCGGCTGTCGTAGAAAAAAAAGGAGAAGGACGATGTGAAACAAGGCGGGAACCAGAACTCGGTGGGACCGCGGGAGCGTTCTCGAGGTACGTCGCGAATAATAAAAACTATGCACGCACGGTTTGCGAATAATAAGCCGTGCATCGGGATGCGCGCCGACCATATTGCATTACGTATTCTCCCGACGTTCCTTCCGGAAAAAAGATGGATAAAAAAGCTTAGCGGTCGGTTCTCGGTCAGTCGGTCCTCCTGACCTGTTTTATAGGCTCACAAAGCGCTGTAAGGTTCTTCAAGAATGACGATTATGGAAAACGCGAGCACGGATGGCAACGTAAAACTGGCGTTATTAAGGACACATTGTCAGTGAGAAATGATTCGTTGAACCGATGTCGATTCGACATCAATTTGACGGTGTCTAAGTAATTTCTCGCTGGGGACGTTCATCGGTAAATGGATTTTCTATGTACTTGCTTCAAATTTCGATTGTGTGCTATTAATAGTGTTATCTATATAGCTACTCACTTTTAAAAGCCGAGTCCATACCGAATGAATGTTGATCGGAGTTTGATTCGAGTCTACTATATCAGATTTTATATCAGACTCCGCGTTGGAGATTCAGAATCACGAGTCAAAGATTAGTCAGATAATGGTAATCCGTTTTGTTCCAATCAACGCGCAGTCCGATACCCATTGCGTTCATGCAGACTGCGTTAAATTGCTGCCGTTATCGTGGGACTGCGAATAAAGCTGGCGCCACACTACGACGCCATTCGTAATGCGCGATTCATGATTCGTGATTCGCAGCTCATCATTCGTAATTTGTTATTTGTCGTTTCGTTCGTGTTAACTTGGACACTTTTTAATCTTTACCAGTCATTACAGGACTTGCATTGTAAGTCTACAAGTAGCCAAGTTTCAATATTAGTCAGAACACCGCTGTTTTCTTCAAAAAACCGCTTGGCTAGCGAATCACTGCGAATGGCGAATCGCGCATAGAGCGGTGGTGGCGCTAACTTAAAGCCCGTGTCGCATTACGTATCGCGGATCGCAATTCAACCAATCGGATACGAGGCTGTCTCGTCTGATTGGCTGAAATGCGATCCGCGACCCTCAATCTCAATCCGATTCGTCATCTGCAATACGTGTGACACGGGCTTCAGATGATTGTCGATTATTGGTGCGTATGTTTGGGGGCGTTGATGCCCGCGACCTGCGCTCGCCCGGGCGTATCTTGTTTCGTGCCGACGCGACGCTTGGCTCTAAACTCGCAACGTCTCGCCGCACAGTACCGCAGATTAATTAGTTCGTGGCGTCGGTATGTGTTCCGCCGCGTCTATCACCGATTCCGACAGCGATGACGACGAATACGGTGTCAGCGACGATGGCGCTAGCGAGAACAGCAGCAACGACGACAACAATGTGCCGTGCCGCGTACACGAATTTGGCAAATTCGAGGAAAACTACGGCTGGATTGAATGCCAATCTAAGAGCGATCCTAACCGCGTGTACTACTGGAATACACGCAGCGGCTGCAACACGTGGTGCAGACCGATCTCGCGCTACATCGACATTCCGTTCGTCTCCGTTAGCAGGGTGAGCTAATTAGACCTCGAGAAGGGAGTGACGAATAAAATTGTATCCCTACCCTTTTTTACAATTTCCTACACTTCTCGCGAATTACAGAACGATTGTAAGTCATTGAGTGCTGTTACACGACATCCTAATCCTAATTGTAAATAAAATATTTTATTCACAAAAGAGGGTTCA